TGATGTATATTTTATGTTGACTAGTTCCATTGTTGGAGCATTTGTTGAAGATATTTGACTTGTTCTGTGTCCAGTGGTGTTGGCCTGTAATTGGATTTGCTTGAATGCAATAAATACTATACTATACTATACTATACTACATGGATACTACTTATCTTCTGGCAAACAAGAAACTTGATTCAAAAGCAATTTTCAAAATAATGGAAAAAGTTCTCTGACTACACATGAAGCAAAACGTGTTTCTTGTCTGTTTCTTAGTTAAATCTATAAACCTTTTCAGCTCTGTAGTGTTTAATGACAGGATGATCATGAGTAATGAATGAGCACAAAATTTTGCATTGAAAATTTTTAGGGTCCTTCCCAAGCATAAAACAGTTTCTGGACCAAGACATGCCAGATATTAAGCACGAAAATGAAGTGCATTATACTGTTTTAGGCAGAGGAGGAGCAGTATGAAGCACCAATGAGTCGAATCTTTGGCTACAACAGACCAGAGTGGTTGCACATTATTGTTGGCTGCCTGGCTGCAACCGCTGTTGGATGTACTTTGCCCGTATTTGCTGTTCTGTTTGGTGAGGTCATTGGGGTAAGTGCAGTGAAGATACTTTGCATTGTCTGAACTCACGACTATCTGTACTAATGAAATGTTAATAGTCAGAATTACAGTAGTGAAATGTTTAATGTTTCAGCATTTCTGTTCCCTGTATGAATTCAATCATGTCATGGGACTTTTTTTTTTCTAAGGGAATTCTGCCTTCACTCTTATATTTATATAAAGAAACCTTATTAAAAAATTGTTAAATGTATAGCCTCTTACATTTAGTTATATGGAAATTTATTATAGTTATTAATCTTTTCCTCGTGAATTTTGATGATTTCTGAAGCCTGTCCCTTCAGCTGTCATCAAAGAATTGGTATTTTCATCTCTTTCAGGAAAGTTTTTGTTTTGTATTTGAGGTTCTCACAGCAGTGACACTGTGAAGAATGTGGTTTTATGAGTTATAGGGCCACATGGTTCAAAGAGAGCACAACATTTTGGATGAACACATTGCCTTCATCTTGGTTGAAGAGCAAGCCAAGCAAGAAATCAACGACGCAGCAGGAAGCTTAATCATCGACCAAGATGGAGAAGATGTGTTCCTCCAAAATGTCGTTTCTCTCCCAACTGCACAGTGTTATAATTCAGAAGATCATAGTAATATTGGAATTAGAGTTTCTATAATGGAGAAGATGGTAATGAAATTGCCAGAAACCCGAGAAAACACACCTTAGTGTGGCACAATTTCTACATGAACTTTTATGCTGAAAATGCTGTCTGGTCTGAACTGTGTGTATTAGCCACAAATAACTGCAAGCTTAACCCACTGTTTTCATATTACTTTATTTTGTATGACATGCTGCTCTCAAACTGAAATTCAGCAGTAAATTTTCAAAATCCTTCAAATGTTGCCTCAAAAACAAATTCTGATCAGTAGCCCAAATCACCCAGCAGATCACCACTGCCCTTAGTAAAATGATGAAATCATACACGTAGGAAGATGTCTCTGTCAGAACAGCACTTCATGAAAGTAAAGTAAATGAAATTATCACTGTGCTTAACCAGTTAAGCACTATGCCATGAAGATGTATGGAGAAGTGGATGTATAGATCCACGTTTTCTTGATTTCAGCACTTGTTGGAGGTGAGTGGTTAGCTCCATACCCTAAAGTAAATAAAACTAATATTAACCTGATATTACTGTTTTATTTTCTAGAAAGTAAAACAGTATTAACAAGTTGATATTAATTCAAATTTTTATAAAGCATTGTGTTTACAGTATTTTCTAGAACCTAAAACAGTATAAACACATTAGCATTAGTTTTATTTGCTTGTAAAAAAATATTGTGTTGATTGACACATGAAACCACCTTAATCAGTACACCACAGGATGCAAACATTAAAGATGAGTGAATCATTCTGAACCTTCACAGTTATCAAATTAGCAGACTCCATCCATGAGTGAACAGTCTACAATGTAAAAGAAAGCCTGTGGGTCAAATGTGGAATTCATACAGTATGATGGATTGTGTCTTCTGTCAGGTGCTGGAAAATCCAAATGCTGAGGAAGTGCAGAATGAGGTCATCTTGTACTCCATCTTGTTTCTGGTAGTTGGAGTTGTTACAGGGCTTGGCATGTTTCTGCAAGTAAGAGAATTTCGGTTTTACTTTATGGAAAATATATGAATTAAATATCTGAGAGCAAAGTCTTTTGGAAAATATTTGGACCTAAGCAGGCAATTTAGGATACTGTACAATGAGTGACTTTTATATGTCACCTGTCGTGAAAGAAGATATGATGAGATAGACATGTATCTTATATGGGATAGGCAAGAAATGCATATTGTATTTTAAAGTTGAAGTTAATACTTTTAATTTCTATTGATTCAGAGCAGAAAATTTTAAAAAATGATCTAAAGTTTATGTATATCTCATTTCACTACATTAACAGATGTACTTATCTGGTGTGGCTGGTGTTCACCTAACTGAACGGTTGCGAGTTGCAGCATTTAGTGTTATGTTGCGACAGGAAATCAGCTGGTTTGATGAAGAGAGGAACCGTGTTGGCACACTCTGTGCAAGGCTTTCAGGTGATGCAGCAAGTGTGCAAGGGGTGAGTGAATTCTGGTAGTTTTCTGTATCTAAAGCATTAATGAAATGGTTGTACAAACAATATGACTTACCCAGAGTTTTAACAAACACCCAGTGGTCTCATCATAGTCATAAAGATCTCACTGTTAAGCTTCCATACTAGCCATTACATCTGTAATGTACTGTACATCTTATTGTAACCTAGTATGATACTGTACTCATAGAAATGTACTTAGTCATTTACTTTTAAGCAAATAGTTGAACAAATTTCGAATGTACTCGTATATGCTTTTCCACATATGATGATGGCTTATGGTATGATGCAGCTAGTCCCAAAAGTAAACAGCCCAACTTCAACTAGAAGGTAGTAAATGATACATACTCCTGAAGTTTAGTTAGTTTCATTTACTGCCAGTAAACTGTGTTATCATGTTATCTGCAGTGAAACCAGATATTATAATCTCTTCACACTCCATGTTTTAGCCACAGGTTCTTGAAAGTGGCTTCTAGGGAAAGCTTATTGGAATACAGCTTGGAATCTTCTGTACATTCAGTGAAAAGCACATTCATTTTATTCCTTACAAATGCGAAGAATATGTCAAAATATTAATATCACATTGGATTAAATATAATTGATACAAAAAGTAGCCGTGAAAATAAGGGAAAGAAATTTGTAGGTGGATGGAAAGTGCAGGTCCAGACATCCACCCAATGTAACTTAAAACAGTCTGTATAATGATGATCTTCATAATGTATAAAGCTGTCCCTGTAACAGTTGTGAAGGCCCATAGGGGTGTGAGATGTCAAGGCTCCCAGATCTAGACAGTCAGCTCACAGATGGCAGTAAGGTCGTCAGCCTTATGCACCAGCTGCAGGGCCATATTGCGACTGGAAGGATTAGGTAAATTGAAAAAATACAATCACCTCTTCAGGAATCGAACCCACGACCTTCTGCCTTGTAGTATAGTGCTTCAACCAGCCATGCTATCATGTGTCCCCTCATAATTTGTACTCCTTATAATATTTTTATTTGGATCAAATCAGTGAGATTGGTGGAGCATGTAGCATGCATGGACACTAAGAAAATCTTGCAGAATATTAGATGGAAAACCTTTAGAGAAGAAAGTGATTGGGAGACCTAAGCACTGATGGTAAGGTAATATCAGAATGGATCTTGAAGGAATAGAGTCTGGGTATGAATTGGATTCTTCTGTCTATACATAGGGTCTAGTAGGGACTTCAGTGAACACTATAATGGAACTTCAGGTTTCTTAATAGGCGAGGAATTTATATACTAATTGAATGACTGTCAGCTTCTCAAGAAGGGCTCCTGTGGAGCAAGTAAACTACAAAAATCTGACCAGACAAGTATAGGCTAGTGCGTAAATGGACACACAGTTGGATGTCCACACACCAACCTAACTGGTTGTAAACAGGAGTTGTCAGACAAGACGGGCATAAACCAAAATGCAGGCTGCTGCACCAGTCGCACTTAATCTAACTCGTTTGAAACTTAACTGGTTATAGTTCAGTTCAAAATAACATATAATATTGTCATGTGTTGGGTATGTACACAACAAATAACTTCACGCTGTATTGAATATAGCGAATTTATTGCACATTTGCTCCACACTTATACAATTCACAGTTATACAATATTAATCTTATACAATTCACTATCTCAATTGCTGTTCAACTACATCTTGATGAATCCATTCACTTGTCTCTGGCAGCGGCTAGCCTGCAACTGACTGGTTACTCAATACTTAATCACTCATTACTGAATAGTGTTCGCTGCTCCATATTTAGGCTGGGCACGGACAACACTGAAAAGAAGTTACGTGATAGGTACCACTGTTGCGTAACGCCGTGTTTACCGATTGCCTAGCAACAGTCATTGCACGGGCTCCCCTGTTGTGTGACGCCATGTTTACAAAGGTGTTGCTGGGCAACGCTGCCGAGAGTTGTTTATTGCTGCGTAGCAACCAGCGCACTTTGGCTTGGCTCAGAGAAACACCGCTTTCCTTACTGTTGCATAATCTCGTTTCCACTGTTGCATAACTTGGCAACCGGCCATTTATCAAGGGTCTGTCTTCATGGTAAATCATTCCACCTCCCGTTGCCCAGCAACGGTTAGACATGTCACAATATAATGCATATTTATGCAGACAGTCCAGTCATCACACACAACAGATTCCACTCATTGCTCTTAAAATTACTTAGAGAAACATCACAACTTCTTTCTTAATTAAGAAAGTGGAGGAACTGTTTTGGAAGAGACTGTGGACCTGTCATATGACAGATTACTGATTAATGAAAAGGCATAATATCTGTTGTAATGATTGAAGTGAGCAACAATAATTGCACATTTATTAATCTGATATATTCTACCTTCTAGGAATTTGTTGTTGTATTATATATTTGGGGAAAAAGTGTTCAGATGTGGGTGTGGTAATTTCTGGTGTGAGTGAAAAGTGTTTTATTTCACAAGATTTTGAAATGAGATTTCCTGGGTTTTGTGTATAGACCTGGTAAGTGAGAATCCCTGGACAGAGGGACAGCATTGTCATGTGTTTGTGACTAGTCACGGGGTTTGAATTGGTAATTGGATTTATTGAAGACTTATAACTAGTAACTACAAATAATCACAGTGATACCGCTGATCTACACACTCAACAAATCACTATAGGACATGCTATCTCAATCTGTTGTAGTCCTCACTAGTCATTGCTCAGTTACAGTTTACAGCAATGGAGATTTTTCTCTCATGCTTATGGTGTTGCTGGCTGGCTACTACTTCACAACTGGTCCCTAACTGTCGACTCTCACCTAACTTGTGGCACCACTAGCCATCACTGACACCTCACTGACACCTCACTGACACCTCACTGACACCTCACTGCCTCTCACTGGCCATCAACTATTTCCAACTGCAGCTGCCAATGGCATCTTACAATATAGCATTGGGTTAGACTGCAGACAGAACAGCATAACCAACTGTTCCTTTATGGTTGTGTGTATATTCATTGTTGTGGAAATTTATTTATCTAGTTATTACCCAGCAGTGGACAATTTTTCTGGTTTCATTATTCGGGCTTCCAGAGAATTGTGAGGAAGTTGACACAGTTTTAGAGTGTTTATCGACATTGGTGAAGTGTTAAATCATGCTACTAACTGTAGCACTAGCTTAATGAAGCTTTCTGTTAACAGGCAACAGGGTCAAGGATTAGCATCATCTTGCAGGCAACTTCAACACTAGCAATTGGTGCCATACTAGCGTTTACCTACAGCTGGAAGATGACGCTAGTGTCATTAGTAGCTGTACCAGTCGTTATTGCAGGAATTTTTTTTGAATCAAAAGTAATTCATGGTCAAGGACTGAAGGAGAAAATTGCGTTAGAGGCAGCAGCAAAGGTAAACCCTCATTTCAAATAGAAAACACGTAGTTCAGTTTTCTTAATGTGTACAATGATTAGAGGGTCACACTAGAAGAACCAAGCAAGTCGACCTAAGTGGTTACATGTCTGACTTGGGTTTAGGAGGTGCTCAGTTTGAATTTTGGGTACGTTATCCAGTGTGAGGGTTTCCATGGTTCCCCTAAGTTCCTTCAAGCAAGTGCTGAGATAGTACCTCAAACTAGGCTATGGTTCTTTTGTTCCACATCTTTTCCGTTTTATTATTCACTATCATCCATTCATTTTGTACTGTACTCATGGAGTCTGAGTTACTAATAGCTTTGTTAAAGAAGCTACAAAGTACAAGATCTCATGAAATCACATATACAAACTCGCTAGAAATAATGGCAAATAGTATTGGGGACAGTTACTGTAAGTTTCTTCCCCCCCCCCTAAACAAATAAATATCCTCCCTATATATATGGATAAATACCGTCTTAAGTGCAACAAATTTTATTGTAGTTTTTACTTCTTTTCCTCCTCCACACTACATGTTTCGGCCCTAAATGGCCATCATCAGGTGTGTATCACTCACGTAGCTGTTATGCTGCTTGTTAACAAAGATTTTATACAATTAGAAAGACTGGTAATTTTAAATTTTAACAAGCAGTGTAACAGCTACGTGAGTGATACACACCTGATGATGGCCATTTAGGGCCGAAACATGTAGTGTGGAGGAGGAAAAGAAGTAAAAACTACAATAAAATTTGTTGCACTTAAGACGGTATTTATCCATATATATTGTGTGAGTGTAACAGGATGCTGAAATATAATATTGTAAATATCCTCCCACTCTGCTATGTACAGTGCGAGCAAAGCAAATTTCTTTGATTGCCTACAGCTTAAAAATGTCTTCTTATTCCTCAAGATCTTTTTTCAAGTTTAGAACTGCTTTAGATCACAATTCAATATTCTTGACACAATTCTTCACCAGCCAGCTGTCCCCACAAGTCATGCAACAAAAGCAGATGCACCATCAGGTCACATATATAAGGGAGGCTCTTTTGTGATGACAAAAACATGAAGGTGGTAATTACCTTGCTGGTCATGGCAGTGATCCTAAAAGCTACAAATCAATCTGAACTCGCGCTGAAAGGGTTAATAGATTTGGAATATGAGCAGATATCCTGAAAGATATTATGTCCCTTTTCACGTCATGCAATCTGTAATAATTACATTTTTAAAGATAGTGTTTTCTCAGAAATAAAAGTATGGAGATGACATACAAATGTAATTCTTGTTATTTTTCTCCTGCTTGTAGCAGATGTGAATGATGTAAATATTTATAATATAGAAAACTTCAATGTTTACACAGTCCTGGAAGTTATGGGAATTAAGGTAATGGTCTAGCATGCACAGTTGTATATTCAGATCCTGAAAGGTATATACAGTGACGCAGAATGAATATAAAATGTTACAGAAAAGCATCATGCCACAAGAGCATTAAGGGCACAGTAGAAATAAAATGTCATCTTCTCAGACCATCACCAGAATGTTTAAATTCATTACATCCTAACAGTCAGACCAGTTCATCTTTTCTTCTTCCTTGCTGTTCTTTGTTTTTTTTATTACTTACTGCTTCCTTTCCTTCTCTTTACTTTTAAATACTTTTATATACTGTTGTAATATGTTAAGCATTGCAGTGAACATTTGATTTCACTATATCATGTCATTGTAGTAGTGGATTAACCTTAGCTGTGTGTTTGAGTGGTTTGCTATGAAAGTAAGTGACCTGTACTCTAAAATGCAAGGCTGGATTGCTTCAACAACTGCTCTGACACAGTGCTGACAAAAAATCCCAAAGCCCATAGCAAAAATCAAAGACCCCTCACCCCTTTATTAACTCGATTCATTGTACATAATATGTCACTGGATATTAACGTATTTTTGTAAGCCTTGTGAAGTACAGAATGTAATATTCTGTAAGTTAAAACTTTTCTTTATTTACATTAAATAATATCTGTTCATATAGATTGCTGTAGAGGCTATAGCAAACATCCGTACAGTGAAAAGCCTGTGTGGTGAACGGCTCTTTCTTGAGCGCTATATGACAGAGCTATGGTCAGCACAACAGGCTGCTAGCCGGAAGACTAGACTCCGGGGCCCCGTGTTCGCTCTTGGACAGACAGTGCCATTTTTTGGCTATGGGCTAAGTCTCTATTATGGTGGTTATTTGATTAGCACAGAAGGACTTCCATACAAGGATGTTATCAAGTGGGTGAATTTTGTAATTATTAGAAATTTAAGCCATGTTCTTAATGCTTAACAATAAAAAATTGTAAGATTATTTTCGTTTTACGTTCACTGTTCATGAGCTTCTTATGTGTCATCATATGTACCATGTCACATTTTGAATCTCATATAGAGTAAACAAGGTTTGCTGCGTTTCAAACAAATTAAAACTTAATGTTTCCAGAAATTTAACCAAATGTCAATGGTATTTACGTACAGAAATCATTTCTCTTTACCCATGCTCTTACTGAAATGCTAGGTGGTTATCTTGAGCGTGTCTCTTGCAAAGAGAAACACACATAAAGACGGGGGGGGGGTTATGTTCTTCTCAATTTTCTAAGATAACCAGTTGAATAACCCACATAAAATTATATTTATTGATTGATACAGTGAATTAACTATGTTGTGTACAAAATGTTCTGGAATATATTTCAGATAAAATCACATCCAGGACACTGCAGCTATATATAGTGACTTAATGGTTTTTCTTAACTCTTTCAGACAAATTTAGCAAACAGTATCATTATTGCTTGCTCCTCCACATTTCCCAGTTCACAGTCTTAATCATAAATCTCATTTGATTCTAAATAACCTCGGCACTTAGAGAAAGCATGACACAGTGGCTGGTACCGGTGCTTTGTATTTTTGGAGATTCTCATTTCAAATTTGAACAGGAGGCTAGTTATCATGACTGAGGTGTTTCATGGATTTCCTTGTTCCCTCCAGGAAAATGCAATTAAAATAGAACACTACTCCTGCTTGTTACACACTTCTTAAACCATAATCCCCATGCCATTTTTCATGTAACCCTCTATATTTTACACAAGTAACACTGTCACTAATAAACAAGAAACCAATATCTCTAATTGATAGAGCATTATTAAATAGTGCAAAATATGTATATATATACACAACAGTATTTCACATGGATAATATTACTGAAAGTTAATGATGTAGAAGCAGAATTTCAAGGTTAATATTTATTACATCTTCTTGAATAATATCTTTATCTTTGGCAGAGTGTCAGAAGCTCTTATATTTGGCTCATGGATGCTTGGACAGGGATTGGCATTTGTTCCAAACTATAGCATTGCTAAAATGGCAGCTGGGCGGATGTTTCGTCTCATTGATAGGAAGCCTCAAATTTACTCGCCACAGATAAAAGGCAACAATGATCTGGTAAGTGGTATCTTCAGTAAATATTATACCATGAATTTTCAGTAGGTAATAATAATTTGTTCTTAGTATTATTAAGATTTATGTTGTGTATTCTAAAATCATTGTATATTGGCAATGTATAAACCAACAAATACTTTACATAGAATGTTTTGTTAAGTCATATATTAACCCCAAGTTCCATCATCAGTGGTATTTAGTTTACAGACTAAAATTAACATAAAAGTTATGGTCTGTATAATTTTTTGCCTTGCTTATGGAGGTTTTATGGTGTGGAATGTGCAGTTTGTAGCACATCTGTAGCCCATATATGTGTTTATACATATGATTACAAGATAGGAGATGATTATCTGCCATCCCTTACTTTCTGTCTCTCTAGATTTAGGTGTGCATCATAAGTAACATTACAAGCTTAATTCGTGGCAGAAGATCAAGGACACAAGCATTTACAATTATTGCTTTTAATTCTGTAGTCTTACTTGCAACAATTTATTAAAACTTAATAAAAGACATTCTCTTTAAAAGTATTCACAACATGTTTTGACTGAAGTGGTTATCATCAGGTGTTAAAAGTTATGGGTGAGGAAACTGCTGTCTTTCTGTGTTGCTGTTTCATTGTTGATATGATGACCACTTTCAGGTGAAACATGAAAAATTTAAGTGACTAGCTTTTATTAAGTTTTGATAAATTGTTGCACATAAGACTGTAGAACTAATTAAAAACACTAAGTGAAAAGAGCAACAGGATGCTACAGCATCATCTTATTTCCAATCATAATTACTTTATTAATAACAAGTCAAATTACAAACAAGTGAGAAAATAACTGGATTGAAAAATAATAATTATAAAGTTAAAAACCAGGAAACCAAATGGCTGCATGCAGTGCCCATAGATGGTGAGAATAAATTCTCGAAAAGTGGGGAACCAACACAAATTGACCCCACAGATGCTGCTGTGGTTGGCAGCCTCCTGGAGATGGAGGACTGGAAACACTGAAACTAGTATTTTTAAATGCAAAAAACTAAAGTAGAATTTAGCTGCATCCTCCCAACCATCAGGCTCCTGAGACAGTTGCTTCCACCAAACCAGGGCAAGCCTCGGTAACAAGGAAGAATTGTGGATAGAGAAAGAGCTGGGACCAGTGCATACACAACATAATGTGATATAGCTAGATTTTCCAGACAGAGAATGTCTGCTTAAGTTCCATATACACAACACACTGTAATTAACAAAGTGTGCGTTTCTGGGGTTTTGAGTTATGCATATATCCAGCCTAAATTTAAATCAGTTTCACTATACTTAACAAAATACACAAGACCACAAGTTATAAATGCACAAAAAATTCTGTGGCTTTTTAGTCCGCAAGCAAACTATACCGTCTGAGCAACTGCCGCTTGTCGGTGAAGTTAGTGCCAACTTTTATGGATAGAGGGTGTCACATGGTCAGCGAAACATATCCCCATTGCCGTTAATCTCGGTTTTCTAGACCAGAGCCGCTATTTCCTTGAAATAGCTCCTCAGTTAACCTCATGATGCTGAGTACACCCTGTTCCAGACCCAGTACTTCTCAGAAAATCTGGTAGTGCCGGGAATTGAACCCGGGATCTCTGGATCTGTAGCCAGGAACTCTGACCACAAGACCACAGAGGCGGTCCAAGGTATAAATGTGGTTATTTTAATGTTTATAATATTTCCTGCAGGAAACTTCAAGCAACATTGAATATTCTAAAGTGAAGTTCCATTATCCAACTAGGCCTGAGGTACAAATTCTGGCAGGATTGAGCCTCCAGATACAGCCAGGACAGACTGTGGCTCTTGTTGGTCCCAGTGGTTGTGGCAAGTCAACATGCATCCAATTGTTACAGCGATTTTATGAGCCCACTGTTGGTACTGTGGTATGTACTTCTAACCTGCATAGAAATACTTAAATTTTAAAGTACTACAAACTCAGTTTGTTTCAGGTCATGGTATTATGTTCCTTTGCTTATTGTTTGTTTTCATTAAAAATACTTTTAAATTGTTATGAGGAATAATAAATTGGTAAAGATGTGGAAGGAAAGCCATGGCTTAATTTAAGGTACTATAACTACTACAACAATATCACTATTTCCACATTTCACTGTTTACTAGTGCACACAGTCAGACGTTCTCACTCTGTTACTAGACATTTTCCTGGCAACGGCTCGAACAATTGCTATTCCTGTGCCTTTGGCTCAAGTCCTTTCTTCAGAGACGCCTGTACAGGACTGACTGAACTGACCTTGTCCTTTGTTTATAACATCTCGGCATGGACCATGTAGAAAACAGCTCTTCTGTTGTTGTGTATGTATGTGTTGCTGTGGGAGTATGTATACCGAGCCGTATCCCAGAAACGGCCCTGGTATATCCTCCCATCCCGCTGTCATTGCATAGTAACGGCAGTACATGCTACAGTATATACAATTGAATTAATGGATGCAGTAGATTCTATGTGGTCCATGTTGCACTAATACTCTGTATGTAATAAAAGAAAAATAGCTGATTAGTTCTTCCCAGACTTTACAAATTCCATATGCCACTTATAGAAGCCTGGGTATATTGTGTGAATGACAGAACATACTGTTCTTCAGCTGTCATGGAAGAAATGCAAGCAACAGAATGGCTTAAAATTCCGTGTTTGAAGTCATTGTTCCTGAAGACAGAAACAGCATGTTGATCCAAAATACTGGTATCCACCTGTGAGACTAGATGGTGTCACAACACAGAAAACTGCAATCTAAGTGTGTATTGTTTTCACAATGACATTCCTGTTCTTCATTATACTGTTTTTTGTGCTTTATGCATTCTTAGAGCATGAATGGGAAAGACATAAGCTCAGTTCAACTTGAACATCTGCGTGCACAGTTGGGTATTGTGTCACAAGAGCCTGTTCTCTTTGACCGCACAATTGCTGAAAACATTGCCTATGGAGACAACAGTCGTATAGTTCCAATGGAGGAGGTCATTGATGCAGCTAAGAAGTCAAATATTCACAGCTTTGTATCCTCTCTTCCACTAGTGAGTACAGTTCATCTCCTGGTTTTATTATTTCCACTGTCCTACTCTGAATTTTTTTCTCATAGATAGTGATTACACAGGACCTCATACTAAGAAAAATGGTGTTATGACTTTCATGATAAAGAAACTGTGAAGTTAATGTTATTATTTTATTACGAATAAGAGCATCATCGAAACTGTGTGAATCGAAATGTGGTAGTCATTATCCCTTTTGAAGAAGGTATTCACCCAACATTCACCTGGTTTAACTTGGGAAAATGAAAGGTACTAGCTGCAAAGTTAAACCAGATATCTTCTGAATACAAACTAAATACAGTGACTAATTAATTTCACCACTATGACTGTGTAAAACCTAAGTACCTGATACTGTGAGTAACTAACTAATTTACTCCATGGTACACAGTCTTCCTTGAGATTTTAATACTCGCTTAGTCAAGAAATTCACTGTCCTTTATGAAACCTGAAGGTTTATTATGTGTTCAATAGTGCCCACTGCTGGTTCCCATATTAAGCCAGATGAATCTGGTACACAACCTCTATTTTATTATTGGTCTTAGAGACATCTGAAATATAAGTTCTGGGTCGATTGTTTATCTATCATTGTGGAAGTCATTCCAAAGAATTTATCCCAACCCAAGACCCTTCTGTAAGAGTGAGAAACTCTTGGTCCTTCATTCAAAACGAAAGATTGAGGACCATCCCTTGCTGGTTGTCTGCGACTGCTTATTCAGTATACTGTATCCCCTTCTCTACATAGGGATATGAAACAAGACTGGGCTCAAAGGGCACACAGTTGTCTGGAGGTCAGAAACAGAGAATTGCCATTGCAAGGGCGCTAGTGCGGAATCCCAAAGTGCTGCTCCTGGATGAGGCAACTTCTGCGTTGGACACTCACAGTGAGAAGGTAAAAGAGAAAGTATTTGTCCATAGGTGTAACGTTTTGCATAAAATAAAGCCTCATGTTCTCCTTCAGTCAGACCATGACATTGTATGCTTATTGTTTATTAAATAACTCCACAAATCCTGTACAGGGGCTTTAGCACCCATAGGATATAGAGCTAGTCAAACTTATATAAACTTATATAAAGAAAAACTTATTTCATTCATTTTTGCATTCCAAAATTTCTAGGAACAAGTGGAGTGCATTTTGGAGGGTAATGAAAATACTTAGTTGGAGATTGTCAAAATGAAAATACCTGCAGTGATAAAAGGTATCATAATTCATTAAAAAATTTCCTTTATAAGAAACAAAAAACAGGTAATTTTTCAAAACTTAAGGGTGATAGAAGGAAGCAAGTTCTTATCTGATAATCTGGACTTAAATTGTATAAGATGCAGCTTATTTAACCCACGAAGCAAAATATTTGTTAACCTTTGTTATCCTGTATTCTTGGCATAAAGGTAGTGCAGGAAGCTCTGGACCAGGCAAGAGAGGGACGTACCTGTATCACTATCGCACACCGTCTGGCCACAGTACAGCAAGCAGATATTATCTGTGTGTTGAATCAGGGTGTTGTGGCAGAGATTGGATCTCATTCACAGCTACTCGAGAAGCAGGGGCTGTACTGCCAACTGCTGAGGCAGGCAGCCAGCAACAGTCTACAGTAAACATCATTAAAGTTTCTAAATTGTAACCTGAAAATGTCTTCCATGTCTGTGCCTTTATACAGTACTGTGATATCCTATAATTAAATTGAATCCATCATTCTGAAGGCAATACATGTTACTTAAATCTAGATTGTAACACTAAGACTATGGTAGTGGAAACAGAAGGTTCAGTAAAGCACTGAAATTCTGTTCACCCCCCACCCACACAACATTTTTCCCTAACATCAGCCATAATCCATATTGATCCACATTTTTTTGCTGTGTTACAGAAGTCAGATTTAAATTACATTTTGTAAAAATTGTCTTGCAAAAATTATACACCATTAACTTGTTTGAAAGTGATTTATATCAACAGAGTATGAAAGTTTTCCTCGATTAATATAAATTGGTCTTGAGCAAATTCCAAAAATTTTCGTTGCAAGACACAGATGGCAGAGATCCATGTAAGAGAGAACATTGTAGCAGAATAGTGTTTAGGCTGCCTCAGTATTGTTATTTTAGCAAAAATATGGTGTCTTCCTCAACAATGTCTTACAAACAGTTAACGTCATCCTCCCATCTTCACTGACTTCTTTTTATTCCAGTGGCTGTTTCTGAGAGGTTTCCTCACCAAAATTCTTATGTATTTCTTGTCTAAGTGAGCTACACATGAAAAATCTGTTATTACATAATATCCTGAATTCCATAATCCAGATAGCACTAAGATAAGCTACTTTTTGGTCCACAAATCAATATGGAGTAGGCGGAGTGACAAAGACATTCAACATACCATTGATATTTAAGTGATATTCTATCAGCCTACTCAAAACACCAACAGCTTTTTGTAGGTGAAGTGATTTTCAAAGCTGTGACTATTTCAGCAGTGCCTAATATTCAAGAAAGGCGCAATTTTTTTTTTCAAGTTGGATATTCCAGCTTCCAAAAGTATATGGCCCAGAGAAAATTTTTGACATAATTTGTTTTTCATTTGATTTAACGTGTTCACTATCAACAAGATTTGGGCTGCGCCATAGCTCAAGCAGTTAGTTGCTGGCTTCCCACCGCGGCGGCCCGGGTTCGATCCCGGATCTGGTCAAATGGGATGACAGGTGAGGGTGGCTGTGGAGCAATTGGTGGAATGAAGATTGGCAGGGGAAACGGACGTACTCAGAGAAAACCTGCCCCAGCGCCACTTTGTCCACCACAAATCCCACTTGACCAGACCCAGGCTGCCGCGATGGGAAGCCAGCAACTAACCGCTTGAGCTATGGCGTGGCCTAAAATCGTAATTACTACATGTGTATGTTATTACCTGCTTATCATTCTTCATGACCAATGTGATAAATTAGTATATGAACTGGTGGTAATACAAACTCAGAACTTCGAAATGAAGTTCCTTTGGCAGTATGATGATGCATGATTTATATTCCAGCAGTTAAAATTCTGATTTAACATATTACTTAACTTACTCCTTGGCTCTGCAGTCCTCTGACTTTGCATCCTTTGGAGTAGACTCTCATTCTTCTCTACTGTTTTCCTTTCACCTCCATCTCTTCATCTCCTGCTATCATAAATTGTCCTCTCCATATTTCAGCCATCTTATTCTGAGCCTTCCCATTTTTCTTCTCCATTCTGGCATTCTACCAAAAATTCTCTTTGCCACCCTTATTTTACCCATTATAATCACGTGCTCAAACTACTCAAACCCTCTCCTTTTAATATCTGCTGACAGCTTGGGGTTCTTCTACTGTCCCCTTAGTTCTCGGTTAGCTCTCATTCTCCAAACCTTTCATTCACTTTTTTATAAAAAATTTCCTCAGTCATATATTTAACGTAAGCCATGAACCATGTTTTACACCCATACAATGCAATTTCTTCTTGTGCCATATGCCTGCTTAAAATAAATACAAAAGCATTATGTGTGAGAATTATTTTTATACATAAATTATGGGAGTTCACCTTATTTTAATGCTTATTTAATATTTAATAACTATGATTACAGTTGAAATATCTGATTGAAATTCTATACATTTTTTTGCCTGTTCTTTTTGAAGGTTTCTTAATTTTGCATCTTAATGTGAGAAGTCTCGGTATTAACTTTTACTGTAAATGAAAGTAACCACTAGTAGACCAAAAGCTGAGTAAAGCTGGAAAACGTAGATAATCGGAATATTTTAAAGATTTTCTACGACAGAGAGTATACAGTATCAACTAAGTATTAACTAAAAATCTGTTTACATTTTATATTATGTATTTGTATTATTTTGTATTCAAGATAATTTCATTAAGTGCAGTGTCTTTCCTGTTGAATAAAGAAGCAAACAAATATCAAACACTTGCTTTATTTGTGTCACCACAATTTGCAGTATGAATGGAGCAACATTTTTATAAATACTATGGAAACTCTTATTTGAGGGACATCATAATGAAATATATAATTAATGCATTAGTTAACTTCATTTTATACACTTCTAACATACAATGAAATTCTTTTTTCTTCCATGCCAAATTTTTTAGAAGAACTGTCCCACTCATCCTGTGTTCCCCCCCCCCCAAATTTGTGAAATTCCTGGGCATATTTTTCACTGTTCACTCATTCCTGAAAGCTGCTTTTCCTGCCCTTGCAATTGCTTTTTCCAGATGAATAGTAAGTAAGATTTCATCTTTTCTTCACTGTAAAACCGAAGCACATTATAATTTGTTTTAGGCAGGATTTTTGATCACATCATTAAAGTGTGTTATGAAGCCTATTCATCCATATTGAAACTGAAAGTATCAACCCATTAATCATGAACCTGTTGACAGCTTGGTTTCATCATCATTGGGTAAGTGACGAACATGAATTAGTGTGACAGGAACTGACCGTTTCACTTGAAATATGAAAGCCTGCTTTGTCTAGGACAGTGTTATGAGCAGCCACCTAACTGCTGGAGTACATCTCTTTTTCATTATTATTATCATTTATTTACATGTCAAAAATCCTTTACAAGGTCGTAAGACTCAGGATATAGACAATAGTCCAATATAGCAATTAAATATAATAATTACAAAAAATATAATATGTGTTAAAATATTTATGTAAACATAATTTTAAAATTATAAAATTTGTAATTTAACTTTTCATTAATTATGTATATAATCCCAATGAAATCAATTATCAATCTTCTTAACCCTGTAATCAAAAAATTCATCAATACCATAAAATGAATGTAAATGGAGAAATTGTAATAGTGCTTTCTTGAATTGATTTTTGTTTCTGGATAACTGTTTTATTTTGCTTGGAAGACTATTATAAATTTTGATTCCAAAATACTGTGGACCTTTCTGAAATGCTGTTAGATTTGTTGCTGCTCATCAGAAATAAGTACATATCTTGGTAGACTTACCTCTAGTACAACTAAAAATATGTCATGCTCTTGGGCCCAGTTTCCTTAAGGAGAAATGAGGCTTATGAGATAGATGACTTGACAGTGTGTAAATGTGTGTTTATGTCCTGCTCACTTCAACTCTTGAAACAATTTAGGGGTTACCCCACTGTGGCGGTGCTGTGAAAAAATTATGTACACAAATAATATATTAATAGAAGTAGCATCGCATTAGCAACCAGAACATCACCTATGCAAGATTTTAGTTTTTCACAGCAGTGACTATGAAGAATGCCGTCTTCTGGGATGTCTCGCCTTGTAGATGTTTTAACCGACGTTTCGGAAGAACATATCTCCTCCATCTTTAGGGCATAAGAAATAGACACCTGCTTCCGCTGGTTCATCGTTCGCGGATTTCTTACACCCTGAAGGTGGAGGCGATACGTTCTTCCGAAACGTCAGTTAACAAAACATTTACACGGCGCCACATTCTAGAAGACGGCATTCTTCAGAACTTTATCTGTTGGTCGTGCCGCAAGGTTTAGTTTGTATGTCAGCTAAATGACGGCTGGTCTCAAACTCTATATACTCGGCTCGCTGACCCACACTTCCTCCCCTAAGAACGGTAATGTTTAGAGAAGTGCACTTATTTGTACATATGATTGTAAATCCAGTGTTACACCAGAACTTTTGTCGTGACATACATTTAATGAAACTATGACTTAGATCTGTGTTCTAGTGGTTAGAGTTGTTGGCTGCAGATCCTGAGGCCCCGGGTTCAGTTCCCTGCGCTATAAGATTTTTCTGAGAAGTAGTGGGTCTGAAAAGGGGTCCACTCAGCCTCGTCAGGATAATTGAGAAGATATTTCAATGAAATAGCGGCTCCGGTCTAGAAAACCGAGATTAACTGCCTTGGAAATCCGTTGCGCTGACTACGCGACACCCTCCATCCGCTAAAGTTGGCACTAACTTCGCAGACAAACGGCGGTCGCTTGGTAGGTATAGTTTGCTTGCGGACTAAAGCCTCGGAGTTTTTCTATGACTTAGAAATAAGGCATGAATTACACTAAGGACCATTCCTGACTGTGGCCACCGCCATATCTCAGTGCGACCTGGGCAGCTTAGCACGTTCCTCATTTTATGACTTTTACAAAGACTGGACAACAGTAGATTCCTTTCCTATTCCTGGTCTGTCGCCGTGAGAAATCTGACACGAAGGTGCCTAGGTACTATATTCGCATTGGACCCTTCTTGCAAGTAATATGTTTTGTTGTATTTTTATTCAGTCATAACTGGATTCAAACCTAAGGAATGAATTTGCTTGACGTTAAAAGAAAGAGACGCTTGGTTTCATTTGCCTGAATTCCGTTTCTTTCCGGTTGTAAAGGCATTAAAATACAGAATTTGTTTTCTCGTCTCCCGTCTAGGTATACAAGTCTGTATTTATACCCACGGCTTTGATCACTGGATCGGTTAACGTGATTATGTTTCATTCGATGGACCAAAAGGTGTAATTTGCATTCTGATGCACATTTTCATTTTAAGGTGAAAAGTTCTTTTTATTTTACAGAAAGCAGCGAACGTGAAGCCGGTCACAGTAGCCGAAGGGGCCCGTACACGTACGTGTCTGGCTCGCGAGTCCGACTCGGTTTGGGTTCCAATGAGCCAAACTCGTCCGTCTGTGGGTCGCAAAGTTAGGAATCAGCTCATGCGTTTGTGGTGAAATTAATCCGAACCCGGCTCCTGAGTCAAGCTCGCCGAGCCAGACTCGTACGTGTGTGAGCCCCTTTAGGCATGTACTGTCTTCACTCGCTCGGAAGCCGGGATCATGGTTTCGAATCCCACACAAGGCATGGATGTTTGATATGTGTATGTGTTTATTCTGTGTTCGTGTTGTCCTATGTTTAGGTAGCGGCCTTGCGACGAGCTGATCACTCGTCCAACGAGTCCTACCGACTGTAAAAGGATCATGAAACTGAAAAAAAATCAGAGGCCAAGACCCAAGGGGGCTGTAGAACCAGTGAAAAAGAAAAGAGAGCGTGAACCATGTCCACGTTTCTACAGACGCTTCTCCTGCTCTCTGGAGAGATTAGAGATGTTTTCCAGCCAAGAAAACTGAGGCCCCGTCGCAGTTCTTGGAGTGGGATTAAGGAGCATGAGAGAAGCGGAGCATGTAGCACGAATGGTAAAAGAAATCCATATAAATCTCAAGACAGGACTTTAAAAATAAAGCTCTATTTAAGGAAATGTTATTTGTCTTGATCTGGCTCCCGGTTGGGCTATTGTGAACACAATAATTCACCTTCGGGCCCTGTGAAATGCGGGGATTTCCTTCACAAGACAGTCTCTGATCCTTGGAGTTACTTGGTTAATATAGTTATTATCTGAGAGAAAATTGGTGGAAGTGAATATTTACAAGAGTAAAGTGTGTGGGGACACACTGTAACATCAAATTCATGGAGCTGAATCCTACTTGAGAAGCTGAGAGTCGTTCAGCTAGTGCAGGAATTCTTGGCTCTCTTTAACCCCGGCGGGATCATATCGTGAGCCAGTGATTCCAGTCCGGAAGCATAGCTAACGTTCGTGCAGGTTACATTTCAGAAAATTCAGAGAACTGAACTTGTGTGGTTCGTGCAGGTTACATTTCAGAAAGTTCAGAGAACTGAACTTGTGTGGTAGGATGCTGTAATGTTTCATTTAGTTCAGCTAACTCTAATGGCTGCTCGAGA